TTAATAGAACATTAATATTCTCTTAATATAAAATTTTTAACACAGTAGAAGATTCTATATTTTTATAATATCATAAAACCTACAAATACAGATATATATCCACACTCAAATTTGCAGTACTTTGAAGCAATCTCATTGTAATCACTACCAAAGTAAATGTATATAGACACTAATCAAATTTATTGCTATTTACAGAATTACATGAGAAATCTATATCATTTAGCTTGAAAAAAGAAGAGGCAGTGAGTACCACTAGGTAAAATAAAAATATTCTGACCTTGAAAAGCATTACAGATTTAAGAACGTATTAGAGATTATAAGTTCAGTAAGGTGACCATAACAAATAAATATAAAGACATATAACATTAGTATGTTAAGAAAAATGTACTGGAATGAAGGCTATTACATATACTACAAAAAAGTGCCTAGAAAAAATTGTCAAAAATGCATAGGACTAAAAGAAGAAAACTTGAATGACCCTCTGGTGAGATTCAATGGAACATTGCTTCAGAAATGGCTGAAACGCATAAACTTATGAATAACTAAAGAAAAAACTGATATCTGGGCCAGATCAGTCTTGTGTGGTACAAGACTTCAATTCTAGCACTTGGGAGGCAGACGCAGGCAGATCTCTATGAGGTCAAGAGAAGCCTGGTCTACATAGAGAGTTTCAGGTCAGCTGGGGCTACAGGGAGAACTTGTCTCCAAAAGAAAAAAAAACAACAAAGGAATGAACTGATAAAATCAGTTCCATGAGTTGTTTAATAGTTCATATACATAAATAAATTTATGAAGTTATTCTTTAAAAGAATGCCAAATGACAAATAAATAGCCTTTTCAAATACTAAAGGATGTTAGTGTGTAAGCGTTTCCAATGTCAGAGTGAACACAATAGTTGAATAGGATAGAAATTACTAAATGTGCCTAAGCAAAGGAAGGAAGGAAGGAAGGAAGGAAGGAAGGAAGGAAGGAAGGAATAAATTATAGTTCTACAAATGCCTTGACAGTTTTTACATATGTGTACGTATGTAGTGTGGATGCAAGTAAGTGTGTTAACATATGTATGTGTGCCTGAGTGTGCAGATGCATGTGCACCTGCGCGCATGTGTGTGGAGGCCCGAGGTAGATGTCAAATTTGTTCTTCAATCACTCTCCACTTATATATTGTGGCAGGGTTTCTAGATGAACAATGATCTAGCCATTTTGGCTGCTCTGACCAACCAGCATGCTCCCGGGATTCCCTGTGCCTTCCTCTCTGCTCTGGGATTACAGGCTGGCTGTCAAGCCTGCCCAGATTTTAAGTGAGTGGTGGGGAAAGATCCTAACCCCTCCTCAGATTTGTGCAGCAAACAATTTACAAGCTGTGCCATATCTCCAGCCATGGTTTCACATTTAAAATAATACTTTATTTTTTTTATCTTATGTGTATTAGTGTTCTGCCTGCCTGTACATAAGTACACCTGTGCCATGCAATACTTGCATAATTATCAGAAGAGGAGATCAAATCCCCCTGGAACTGGAGTTATGAATGGTTTTAGCTGCCTTATTGGTGCTGGGAATTGAACCTGTGTCCTCTACAAGAGCAGCCAGAGATCTTAATCACTGAGCCAACTCTCCAGCCCACATTCATATTTTTAAAATAAAATAATGCATACACACAAGTTCTAGATTTTTCAAAACTTTAAATGGAGAGTGCAGTAAATTAAATGTAGAAAAACTCTAAACTCTTAGAAAAAAAACTTTAATTTAAAATTGAGATTTCCCTGTAAGATAACAGCATCTTGTGGACTCTCATGTGGACACTACCAATTTAAGGACTTATTTTGCATTTAAAATGTTTTATATATGATATCGGAATCTTTTATTTTATTTTATTATTTTTATGTGTATGTGTGTATTGCCTGCATGTAGGTAAGTGCACCCTTGTCGTACAATACCCGCGGAGGTCAGAAGAGGCTGTTGGATCCCTTGGGACTGGAGTTACAGACAGTTATTAGCTGCCCTGTTGGTATTGCGCTTCGAACCCGGGTCCTCTGCAAGAACAACCAGTGTTCTTAACCACTGACCCATCTCTCCAGACCCGAGAACTCAAATGACTTACACAAAGTGTTCTCTCTCTCTCTCTCTCTCTCTCTCTCTCTCCCCCCCCATATGTGTCTGTGTGTGTGTGTGTGTTTGTGTGAAAGCATTAGTATACTTTCTTTAAAAATCAACTTTTCTTATTCTTTCTAAATATTTTAGTATATTCACACATGCATTTGTTGTGTATGAATATATATTATAAGCTATAAATTACATAGAACAGATGTTAAAATTATTTTCAAGTAGGCAAAAAATTTCTGTCAATGTAATGTGTAGGTAACAAAATACGAAAGGAAATTTATGTTATCTGGATTCAAAATCTAAGTTATAATTAATACAGTAAATTTTTAAAGTAGTTTCATTATTTTCAGTGAATAAAAATTTATTAAACATACTTTTATAAAAGCTCTACAAGTCATTTCTGTAAAACTTTGAACAATTATTTCATTATGTAAGATATAAAAGTGATAAAATATCAGAATTATAAATCTTAGCAGTAATCAGGAAAAAGCAGATTAAAGTGCCTTTGCCAATAAATTTAGAAAGATCCAATATCTGAGAAAGTGTGAAAGTTAAGATGCTTGTATTAAAAATATTGTCATAATTAGGTAAGCATGGTGGCACAGGCCCTTAATCTTGGAAGGCAGAGGCAAGTAGGTCTCTCTGAGATGGAGGTCAGTCTGGTCTACATAGTGGCCTGGGGCTACAAGGATACCCTGTCTTCACTTCTTCCCACTGGTCTAGTTTGCCTTCTATTGCTGTGGTAAAAACACCTGACCAAAATCAACCTAGAGAGGGTTTATTTGGCTTACAAGCACAGTCTATGTATAAGGGAAGGCAAGGCATGAACTCAGGGCATGAACCTGGAGCACGGACCATGGAGGAACACTGCTTACTGGCTTGATCCTCTGGCCTGTGCTCAACCAGCTTTCTTGTACAATAAAGGACCACCTGGTCAGGGGAGGCACTGCTCAGAGTGGGCTGGGCCCTCCCACATTCCTCAACAGTCAAAAAATATGTCCCTCAAACATGGCCACAGTCCAGTCCAATGGAAGCAATTCCCAAATTGAGGCTTCCTCAATCCAGCTATGTCAAATTGAAAACTAATATTATTCAGCACGTAAACATTCCTCAAATTGTAATAATTACACTTTTAAAAATTTATATTTTCCTTTCCAAAATCATGTAAATGAGAAAATTAAGCAGAGATGTAATTTCAACGTTGTTCATAATGGGGAAAAGAAGGAAAGGTAAAAGTAACATAAATATGTATTTTTAATGAAAAGAGTAAGTTTGAGAACATTAAAAAATGCCACCTATTAGAAGTAAATGAAGAGATTTATAATTTTTGGGAAAAATAAAATTATATGTGTTTTAAATTTTCAGACAAGTGTGAAGAAACATGTTAAAGATAGCCACAATGGTTCACTCTTGAAGATGAGATTCCACTTTGTACTTCTGTGGTTTTGCTTTTCAGAAGTATCTTTCATGTTACCAAATTTAAAAAAATAAAATTCAATAATATTAGCATGCTAGCACCTTCTGTGGAACACAGCAACATGTGACTGAAAACAATACTTGGACAAGAGGGTAAATGGGTAAATGGGTAAAGCACTGTCACTCAAGGAACAGAATTCAGAGCCTCAGATTCAACGTAAAGACTGGTGCAGAAAGCCAACAGGAATCCCAAGAGCAGGCCGACTAGCCACGCTATAGGAAATGGGAGTTCTTCCTTATGGAGAGACTGTGTCTTGGTATATAAAGTGAACAGCAATCGATGAAGACACCTGATGTCAGTCTCTAGTCTCCACAGGCGTGTGCATGTACACACACACACACACACACACACACACACACTTGTATACAAACATGCACCCACACATATAGATACAAATTAAAACTAGAATCTGCATATGAGAGAAAATGTGATTTTTTTTTTTTAGTCTTCCTTATTTTGCTTAATATTGGAGTGTCCAGTTCCACCATTTTCCATCAAATACCAGATTTTCAATTTTTCTTTATGGCCAAATTATACTTCATTGTATATAAGTAGAATAATTTTGCTATCCTTTCATCCATTGATAGGTATCTGTTCTAAAATATAAAGTGGATTTTTTTCTAGATATAGACCTACATTTGTTGCTTTTCGTTTGTTTCTAGGGAAAGGTGAACATGGAAAACCTTACCCCCTTACTGAAGAGGACCATGATGACTCAGCATACAGGGAGAATGGCTTCAATATTTTTGTCAGCAACAATATTGCTCTAGAGAGGTCCCTGCCTGACATCCGCCATGCTAAGTGAGTATGAGCACACCACGTAGGCAAGACAGGTCATTTCTTTGAATATGTTATATTGTTATTTCTAATGATATCACTGTGCTATTTATAACCAAATGTCTCCCTGATCATTTTAATTAAAAATCTTCATATTTCATAATCTTAAATGTTTGATTTAAATTAAAATAACTTTTACATTTCAAAAGAATTTCAACTGCATTGGTTAGTTAACTTTTTTTTTTTTCAATTTGATAACAATGCATGGCTAAAACAATGTAAGGGAGAAAGGTTTTCTTTTGCCTCAAGTTTGAGGGGACAGTCTATCACAGCAGAAAGGGAATGTTTGAGGGAGCAGATTGTAGCCCCAGCAGCAAGAGCTTGCTCACATCTGATGATTAGGAAGAGGAGATGCGACAGGAAATGGAGCCAGGCTATAAACCTCATGGCCTGCTCTCCAGGGACCCATTTTCTACAGCTAAACTCCACCTCTTAAAAGTTCTGCAACCTCTCAAACAGCACCACCCACTAGAATCCAAATGTTCAAACATATGAGCCTGTAACAGAGATTTTGTATCTAACACTTGATACAAACTCTGAAAATATATTTTCATTATCTAATTTCTCCTTTTAAAACAAATGTTTTAAGTAAATACCCATAGTTTTAATGTGTAATTATTGTAATATTGTAATTAGAATTAAATATTTTTCTCTGATTTTTGATTTTTATCAGTGCTGTTTGTAAAGAAAGGTGACTTCAGTGGATTAAGTTCTCACCCTCGTCTTATTTAAGGCCTTTGTCCTTATGCTTCCATAAAGAATAATTATGTTAAGTGCTTATGTAATACAAAGATAATGATGGCTTGTTCAGTTCTCTGTAACTTAATGAACTGGTTGTAACTTAATGAACTGGTTGTGGCTAATGAGAATCATGTTACATCCCTCTCTACCAACCTCTAACTTACATTTAAATTGTTGGTGACAGCTTATTTCTAATATGTTATCATATTGTAGTAGCTTAAATAGGTCCAAGAGAATGTTAAGAACATGGGGTCTGAACAAGGTTAACAATACTGCCATGCATAGAAATAAACTGATTCAACTGTATTGATATACTTACCCTTCTTGCTCCCTAGAAACTGAGAGGGGAAGAAGGGTGAGTATATCAATGAAAGAGAGAAAATAAGAAAATAAAATCACAGAAATAAATGAATGAAAATAAAGATTATAAATATAAATTAAACCATAAATGTAAAGTTAGTAAAAGTCTTAGAGTTGTTTAAGGGTGATTAGCCTTTAAGAGAAAACATTATGTTTGGGGAACTACATCCTTACGTCCATAACTACCAAATTGTATCTTTAGAGGTTTATTTGACAAATGTAAAAGAATTAATGATATTCTCCTCAGATTCTGGGTTAGATTACATTTTCTAATATAGTTAAGTAGAGGATTAATTTGAAGAACAAATTGATTTTTCTCATAACTGAAAGCTTTATATATTGGCGTAAGTCTTTTAGCCAGACAAATTATCCCCAAGTTACCTCAAATTGTCTACAGCAATTCCCACTGTTCAAGAACATTTCTAGTGATGAGAAGTTTTAATGCTAATTGTACCTATCAAAGATGCATTAAGCTTCATTGTTGGCATCATAAATATGCTCAGACAATTATTACCCATCTACCTCCTTTTCCACCTCTACACTACCAATCTTATATGGTGTATTCAGGTGGAAAGTGTTGCAGTTAGAAATGGCAGTAAACCACCGAAGAAAGCTGATATTCCTGTTGTATATTTACTGTAACCACACCCTTCTAAAAAGATGTTCTTAGACAATAATGGAAAACAAAATGGAAAAGTGAAAATAAAAACACTTTGAATTTTTTTAGTTTTAAAATTTTATTGATTTTTTTCATTAACTATTAATAGATAACATAGCAGCACATACAAGGAAGATCAATATTATAAACTATAGAAACACGCTGTTTAAAACAAAATGAAGATTCAGTTTAAAATCTATTTTATCAGATATTAGAATTACAACACCTGTTTTTTCTTAGTACCATTCACTTGGTATATTTTTTTCCATCCTTTCACCTTAAGATAGTGCCTGTCCTTGAAAGTGTCATGAGTTTCTTGCAGACAACAAAAAAGATGGATTTTATTTCTTAATCCTTTCAACTAATCTGTATTTTTTGACTGAGGAGTTCAATCCATTGATATTGAAAGTTATTAATGAAAGATGTGTATTGAATCCTGTCATTTTTATTTCTGTTCATATTCTTGACATAGCTGTGCATTTCCACAGTTACACCTTCATTGACTTTCTTGTCATCATCACCCCTTGTGTATACTCGTTCCTTTCTTTAGCTCTTTGTATTGCTTCAAGAACTCTCTGAAGGGCTGTGGTTGTGGACACGAATTCTTTCAGCCTATTTATGTCATGGAAGATTTCTCTTTCTTCTTCAACTATAATAGACATTTTGGCTGGGTAAAGTAATCTGGG